TCAATGTTATTTTCTCAAAGAAAATGTAAAGTTAATAAGACACATACCTCATATGTGTTAGCTGTCAGCAGCTGAAAATATGAAGAAAAAAAATCATATTTTAGTCCCTAACTGAACCCAGTCTGACTATCAGATGTGAAAACACTCTAAGTTCACATTTTCCCATTTATTAATAATTTTAAGGCCTCTGTTTGAATCAACTTCTGCTCACTCCTGAGTGAATAAAAGAATAGTCATCCGATGTTTTTGATAACCTTCTTTGAAAATAATTCAGTTGTTTTTCAGTTGTTGTCTTTATTCACTCTCAAAGCATCGTTCTAGTTCTTTCTAATTTGTGTTTTCATATTGCATCACATGGTTTCAAACTGCATCACATTCTGTTCAAAGTCTGTCTGACAGAAAAAACTGTCCTTCATGGATTCCACCAATCCGGCCTTTAAGACGTAGTGGTCAGAAGAAAACCAATGTTGAAAGAAACCCTCTGGAAGCCTGTGTGTATGAAGACTTCTGTACCAACTTTGCTATTGTTTCATGTCTCTTTTCACTGAATTGATCTTTTCTTCCTTCTTCAGGGCTTTGATAGCAGGACGAATGTAGGAAGTCATAACACCTCAGAAATGTTTGGGACATTTCTGTTGAGTACTCATGTGTAGTATTGGCTGCAAATTGATTCTTCTACGTGTAAAGTTGGCATAAAGTAGATGAAACTACAACTTTTTGTTGTTTACTCAGTTTCAGCTTGAACTGAACGTTTCCCAATCAAAGCCTGGTAGCCTGGTCTCAGAGGAGGCTCTGGGAATCGTCACTGTTTGGAACTGTGGAAAGGGAAACTATGAACTTATAAAGAAGTCTGAAGAATTCAGATTTCTGGTTTAGATGTGAAATGCTGTGTCTAAGAAAACACTGCACATTATCCAATTTGTGTTATATCTACTGTAAAACATGATGATGTCACAGTGGTGTGAGTTGGCTCTGAAGGATCACGTCGTATGGTAGCTGAATAAATCTGCAAATGCAAACATAATCGCCTAAAGTAAGCATGTAGTTTAACTACATATTGATAGGCTACAAAAAGTAGATTATTCTCTTGTGTTTTTCTCAAATCTCACAGTTTTGTCATTTCTGTCTCTTCCTAGACATTTTGACTTGTTGGTTGTGATTGGTTCTTTTTCATCCAAGGAATACACTTATTGGGTGAAAACAGGGTTAGGGTCAGGATTTCACAAATGTCACTGGTTCGTGGTCAGGGTTTTTTACACTTAGCAATTGTTGGCATGTTTACAACATAATTGAAAGACACATGCGTGTCAAATCATATGCGATTTGACACGCATATGAAGTGCGTGTCAAATCCAAATGTTGCTCATTATGATGCTCATTACATAGGGAAATCAACATTATGATGATTTTCCATGTGTAGCTGATTTAAAATCAGAATATTATATCAGACCAATAAATAATATATTTTATGTTACAGGAAAGTGGGTTTATGCAAAGTATGCTAATGCCTGCTTAAAGGTTATTTTCAAAAGGTAGATTTAATTTGACAAATGAGCCTCAACAGAAAGCATATGCATATTTATTGAATATGACTAGTAAATGTTTACTGTTGGCATGTTTTACTCATATTAAAAAGCACAGTTTAATTTGTTTAGGAAAGAAAATAAGAGTTTTGATCATTGCTAAATCAACTGTGTTTTAAATAAAGAAAAGTAATCAACATGGTTATGCACCAGAACCATAGAAATATCTCACCTCATATCTCATACAGGTCAGCAGATCAGACGCTGGTTATCAGTGACGGAGTAGCGGATGCGTCAGTGAGATCTGGACTCTCCCTTCCTGGGTCTGGGTCTCGGCCTCATCTCATCTATGTGCACCCAATGCTCTGTTTGCTGTTTTAGGCTTAACTGTGCTGAGTGACCGGTCTATGTCCGACTTCTCCTTCTGCCTCGGTTTATTTGACTTCTCCCAGGTCTTAATAGATTGTACAAACAATGCTTACTTATGAGTTTACTTTTAAAACATGGCCGGTGCTTGTGTTGGCCGCTCTTCAAACCTGTTTCTACCAACTGCTTTTATTGTTTTGCATCTCCGCCTTTTTTAAATTAAAAATAAGTGAAATTTTCCTTTGGAACCTCTTTTGTTTTGAGCTTTTATGTAATAGTCCACTGGAAGTGGACAGTTTCATTAACAGTTACTAAGGAAACACTTTTCGCTTGTGAAGGGGACTTGTGAGGGAAAATGGTGCGATGCTGAAGTCCTTGAAACCATTTTGGGTCAGATAAAGAGGCTTAACTCACCATGGAAACCGAGGACACTATGTGTTTAGACTGTGGGTAGACAACTCTAGTAGTGCATGTTGTAAATGTTTATCGAAAGTTGTATTAATGTCTATTTCTCTCTGAGTTTTAAGCACAAAGGACTTAAGCATAATTTGGAGTTAAGAACCATAGCTGGATTTACAGGAAAGTTTTGGAAAGATAAGCCAGTCTGGCCACCAGACTAAGAACTGAGTCAGACGAAGAGATCTGTGCATAGATGTGCAGGATACAATGACTTAGGCACATTCTTACAATTGATGTAATCATCCCAACTGAACAGGAGGTGTCTCTTTAAAATGAGGCATTACTGAAAACATAATTTGTTGTCTAAAATTTTGAGTGGTATTTTTGTGTTTTTCTTTTTTTTTTTTTCTATATTGATTTTCAACAATTGTGTGCATCTCCTGCCCCAATCAATTTAGAACTTCAGTGTAAAGAACTAAATCTGATGACAAAACATTATTCACCTGAGATAAAACTCTCCAATGTGTGACCTTTAAAGAAAATATTCTCTGATTTCTAACAATTTTCATACTTTCACATATAAACATGTTGGACAGCATGTAACCTTTGATGCAGCATCTGATCTGCAAGTCAGTTCTTTGGTGCTGGAACCATAAATAGAAATAAACATCAACATTGAATATCAGGTTGTCCTCTTAGAAAAGATAATCGTTAGTAGAGCTACCTGTTAGCTAGCATTGATGGGATTCGTTTGGTGTGAATCAGATCGGTAGTGCAACTCTACTATGACTTTTTTCTTTTCTTTTATTTTTAGGAAAGGAACAAATCAAGTTTAGAATTTTAGCTTTAGTTTGCGATGCGACTCAGAAATGCCTCTGATTAAACCCCATGTCTTGTTGTCCTCTTCCTTTGAACAGATGGAATGAACTGCATGAACAAAGACCATGGCTGTGCTCACATCTGCAGGGAAGCGCCCTTCAAAAGTGGGGTGTCATGCGAGTGCCGGCCTGGTTTTGAGTTGGCCAAAAACCAGAAAGACTGCACATGTATGTATCACATCTGATCCTCATGCTGTGACAAAAAAAAATAGAATCATTACTTTTGGGAATAAATAACAGACAAGAAACTAAAATGCTTCCTTCATCAGCACAACGTTACGTGCTTGTACAACATACA